CCCCAAAACCCCAAAACCCCAAAACCCCAAAACCCCATCAATCAAAGATAAGAAGTTATTACTTGGTACAAACATATATTCTTAAATTACTTCAAGTTACAATACCTCATTCGGATGGAAAATACAAATAATTTAGCAACAATAGGGAAAATTACCATCTTTATTGCTTTCGTGCTCAAGTATGGTCTTGTTTCCGGCCTCTTTGCTTTCTTAATTGCAGAGTAGATCTTTCACTTGATCTTGAGGATACTATTTGGATTGAGAAAGATTCCTGATGGATTGCCCGTCACGTTTTAGAAAGCAAAGATTTAAGTGGTGTACACTGTTTTTACTTAAGGAAAGTTAAAAGATACTGAAAGCGTACGGCAATAAATACTAAAACATTCGCAGGATATCCCTGAGCTTCGATACCACACAGTTAGCTTCTTGAACTACTTCTACTACAAGCAGTTTCCCGAGCAAGAATTCTAGAGGCAGCTTGATAGGAGTATCGTTCATATCTAAGATGACTTTCAGTCAGAGCAAGATCTGATTGATTTCATAAGGTTGCGGGGAGCTTCAAGTTTCCGGTGTGATGAGCTCCAATACAGAATCCTCATAAAGAAGGACTACAATTCAACTTAATCAGCAGTCGTATTTGTCTTTTGTCATGGGTTGAGTGATGGAATAGGATTTCTGAATCTTTTCTCAGCACTCTAGGAACAGTTTGATCCATCGAATACTCCGCTGGTAAGAGAGAGATCAATGTCCGAGCAAGTTTGGAGATATCTAAAGGTCCTTGCAGCACCCTATTATTTCTCTATGTCTAACGCAAGATTTACTTAGTCGGCTTCTTTGTTTTAAAAGTCAGAAACCACTTAGCCTGAGTTAGCTTTGTCGAAAGACATAATGGTAGATGATCTTAAATTGAAAATATGTCGAAGACTAAAGTGCTCTATTAATGATCTTCTTTTGGCTGCAATGGCTCTGGCACTTAAGTAGCACCAAGATGAAAGAGGATTGGTCTAGGACTTCAAAGTGTTGGAATTATTTCTGGTGGTTAATTAGAGAGAAGCAGTAAAGAAGAGGTCGGACGTTAAACTTGGAAACTAGATAAAGTCGACAAATTTAGATATTTAATTAGATGCATTATATAGTTTGAAAGACGAAGCTTCTGTCGAATAGCAGATCAAAGTCTTATTAGAACAAATATAGAGTAAGGTTTTAAAGATAAAAAGCGATGACGACTTATATGCTGCATCAGTTGGTATGACGATGTCGGATTATTTGACTCCCGCTTCGTCGTTTGATAAAACTTTGACTAGAGCGTTCAACAGCCGATTTTTCGGTTGGACCAACACTAATGGCCACGCTAAACCTCTCATGATTGGAGATGCTTTGTCAGAAAAGATGGGCTTTTTGATTTTAGGATATCCAGATCAAAGCTTCTAGATTACCATTTTATCTCACAACGGCTATTTGAAATCATACCTCTATAGTAGGTTCAATAACTTTGATCCTTAAGATATAATGTAAAATTTCGATAAGATTATTGAGACTCTAATTAGAGAGAAATGATTTTAAAATCCATTAAATGCTTTTGACTAAATACTAAGTTTCTTAACTTATTTTAACAATACGGGGTTTTGGGGTTTTGGGGTTTTGGGGTTTTGGGGTTTTGGGGTTTTGG